AACACGTTTTCATCCTCCAACACATTAGAGGACAGAAGATAAGACTGACATACATCATCATCATCACCATCACTGCTGCTGCTTTTAGAGGTGCTGTGAGGAAACACACTCGCCTGAACTCGCTGTGATGGACGTCTAGAGCAGATTACTCACATGTGTCTGTGCATGCTCCTGGCTAGCTGATTGACACTCTGCATGTGTCACACACACACACACACGCACACACACACACACCTCTGTCAAAGCTACTTGTCCTTTGTTGAAGAGCACTTGGTCCAGTGCCAGCCTTTCATCATTTGTCACCAATATCACCTAGGTAATGACCTCTTTCAACCAGTTACCATGACAACAGTAATTTGTATGGAAATCACGTCGCCCCGGCGGAGGATGAGGAGGCTGCTGCTGTCGGTGGAATCATACGTGGGGTGCAGGATGGACATAAGTGTGTCCACGATGATATGGAGAGATGCGCTCTTCAGTTTTGTGTCGTCACGTTTGAGTGTGCTGATGAGCGTAGCTGCCAGCAGGGGGCACTGTGGAGACACGGGCAGCTCTGTGCTTTATCACAACCTGAGAACAACAAAGCTCGTGGCAATCAGGCAGTTGTCTTCCTATTCCAGGCAATTCTGCTGCCCTCCATTTATATAAGAGGGTCACTTGCACATCAGAAAGGTATCTGCTGTCCGTCTGCTCTGCTCCATCTGGGGAAATGCAATCTTACACCATTATGTTTACACGTACAGCTCTGGGCGAAATGCAGAGAGAAACTGAGACCGCAGTGCAGATATAAAGCCATCTCTCCCTCACTCTGCATCTTCTACACTCTCCACCACTGTATATCTAATTCAGAATAAAGGACAGTTTCTCCTCCGTCTCACAGGAACATGAAGCTCTCTATGAGCTAATTGGCCAATCAGACTCAAAACAATACAACCATCCAGTGAGCAGCATGAGCCTGAGAGCCCAAGCCAAAGTGCTTTTACCTGCTGTCCTCAGTCAGTGAGTGAAAAGCCATCAAGCTGCCTCTCTGAACTCTCCCCTGTGAACGCTTTCGTGCGTCTCTTAAATTCCAGCTAAAGCCGTGACAGTGGACGTGCACCGCGTGCACAATCCAGCACAAACAGTTCAAACAGTCCTAAATAAAAAGACAAAGCTGTTTGTTGCAGGGCTCCTGACCGACGCTTGTTTCTCAGGCAAACAGCTACAGAAAGACTGAATTTATGCAGCAAAAAATACAAAACGCCAAATGTATCCAATCACATTCACCCCAAAACCCCGCGCTTCAATCAACAACATCCAACATGCTCTATTTGATTGGATCATTTAAAAAATAATGTCACCAAATGACAGCAGATGCTGTTACTGTGCACACGTCCATCAATGGATCCCGCAGTAGTTACATAAACACACAAATGGCAACAGTAACCATTCAGATGTGTCCCCACAAAACACTCTGTGAGGAGAACAAACTTCACTGTAAACTTCATGAAGTGCAACCTGAGTCCTCACAAAGCAGAACGGGGTACAGATGCAGCTCAGAGAGCCATGTGGGCAGAGCACTGATGTCATCTGCAATCAAGAGGACGTTTGTTCCTCACATCATTATCTTTATGAATTACAGAGGTGTCTCTTTATAAAGACGTGGTTACACTTTCTCTTTTATGTGCAG